ATTTGTTTTGATCTGTGATCGTTGTCAATAATAAAAGTACTGTTTTTAGAGATTTCATATATTCTATACTTTATCACCCACCTTAAGAAAGGAATGCGTGACCTACAGCACAAAATGACCTAATTTTCTCTGAACATTTCCTTCATATCGGTCAACTTTTTTCGAGGAATATATATCTGAACATTTCGGAAAAGTAACAAAAAATATGCAAATTTAGACTAAATTTCCAAAGAAAAATCCGAAAACGATGTAATTTTTACCAAACCTACTTTTTTCATCCCCTCAAATGGCGTGTTTTTGTGTGTGATTTGTTCCAAGGGTCGATGTTATGACTTCGAGTAGCAGTGCCTCGTCAAATTGTTTTCAAATCAAAGCCTCCCCGAATCTTATTTTCGTCACAGAAGCGCTTTGCCTCTTGAGGGCGCGACTTATGTTGAGCGTCAGAGAAATAAAAACAATACTTACCATTTACAAATGTAAACAAAAGAAGCGAATACGTGGATGTCACGTGTGCCATGGTGACGATACAATGATGAAATCAAGTAGCTGCGGTGAAAGAAAAACATGTTTGTGATATGGAAACCACGTAAAGGATAGTAGTGATAAACGCTAGTTAGTCACGTGGTCCATGGGCATATTGGATGGCTGTAGCGACGCTGCTTATGTTACATATATTTCCCGTGGCATATATTTAACATGAGCTTTAACCTGGTTGAAATTACACACTTTGTCAACATGTTGTTTCACATGCATGTTATTATTCAATAAAATACTGTTAGCATTTTCGTATGTCAAATACTGCTAGCATGTTTCGTATGTCAAATACTGCTTGCATGTTTTGTATGTCAAATACTGTTAGCATTTTCGTATGTCAAATACTGCTAGCATGTTTCGTATGTCAAATACTGTTAGCATGTTTTGTATGTCAAATACTGGTAGCATGTTTCGTATGTCAAATACTGTTAGCATTTTCGTATGTCAAATACTGCTAGCATGTTTCGTATGTCAAACACTGTTAA